AGGTGATAGTTGGCTCAGGGTCAATTTAGACCAGAACCATGGTCTCCATCACAGGCCCCTCCTGTCACTGACAGGGTCAATAAACTGAACGAATGGTGCCCTCCCTTCCGGCCAGTCTCTTAACTATATTGATATTTGGTTAGTACTGTCCTGCATTTACATGGCATTTTGTGGATCACCCACATGTATTAGCTCATTTGAGTCTTGCAACCATTCTGTAGAGCAGACTTTATTAGTCTCATTCTACAGAAGAGGATGTGCATGCAGAGCCAGGGTTACAGTCCCCGTAACTGAAGACCAAGTCTAGCACTCCTTTTACAGTGCTTTGTATATGGTACCTTCTGTATAAACTCAATCACCAGGATGCTCACACTGTGACAGACCAGCAGGGACTTGGTTCATGTTGACCAACAAGAGTCAAAATGAACTTTTTTAGGGAGGATAATTAATGTAGAATTATAAACATCATGTTTAATTACTTTGGAAACAAAAACTCCCAAATAATGCCTGAACCCAAAAGGTACATAAAAATGGCCAAAAAATATTTTTAAATAATAGATCATTTGTAGTTTCTCCCTCATAATGAGTGCTTTGTAAATTACAAACCATATCAAATCATGTTAAGGCAGATGATCAATCTCGTTGCAGTTTTAACTATTCCTGGGAAAGTCATCTTGTTGGAGCGCTTCCTTGCCGCTGTTTGGTCAGTTGGTCCAGGAATTGGCAGGTGGGGAGCTGGGCCCCGCCAGTCTTGTCACTGCTCGTTCTGCTGGCCCTCTGTGACGGAAGCAGACACGGAACCCTGGCCCTTGTTGACATCACTGATGCACACCCACTGCCCGTCGACTGACTCCTTCCACAGGGTCACCTGCAAGCCAGCACACACACAGGTCAGCACCCCTTCCCTCTGCTCTCATCTCACTGGAGCCCTGAATGATTGCCCAAATTCCCGAAGAACCATGGCTCACAGCCATGTGGGAAAACAGAGGACTAATCTTGGTTTCCTCACTGAAATCCCATCAAAACAGAAGAAAAATCTACACAAAGGAGGTGACATGAGTAGTTCCAAATTTCACTCCCCCTTAAAAGAACAACTATTCATGGACAAGACACCACTAAGAGAGTCCTAGAACAGGGGAGGGAGTGAGGCTGACACCCCCGCACTCGAGAACAGGCTGGACTGCATTAGAAAGGTAAGGGGGATGGCTCCATGCTAACTGCACCTCTCCCCCAGGCAGGTGCAGTTCTTCCGGAGGGAGGAGAGCACTAGGATGACATCCATCCAGCACCACAAGAGGGGCTTGCAGGTGAACCTGTGGGGTCGACCACTGGGAATCCGATTGTGACGGAGAAGGGGCTTCCAACAACCAGCACTCAGATCTTCGCAGACCTAGTTCCTACCTGCAGAATCCAGCTAGTCCCAGGGAACAGTCTGACCAGGGAACTTGGTGAGTGCAGATCGCCTAATTCAGGTCCCCAAACCAGAGTTCTGCCTACTTTTGTAAGTCACAGCCCTACCTGCTGCAGGAAGAGCCGGCAAGAACACCTCGAATCCACACGTCCCACCAACTGTATAGCTGAGAGGAAGGCAGGCAGGCAGGCAGAGCTGATTACCTCCAGAGCAAAGCCAGTGGCCCCGTTCGGCCATGTCATCCGTTGGGGCATGGACTGGCTTGAGTCAAAGCCATAAAGAACATTAGTGGCCTTAGAGCTGCTTTTCCTGCTGAGCCCAGGAAAGAAACTAATTTGTAACCACACTTACTGCTGAAAACAGCCCTCAGACCAGGGACCCTTCCCAGAGCACATGCGAAGCGGTGTATCCCATCAAACATCCCTGCTTCTAGGGGCACTGGAACAGAAAGCACAGACTATGGCTGTTCCTGTCTCCAGAGCAAAACAAGTGACCTCACCTGACCACGATATTCAGTGCACTCTTGCCTGATTGGGGTCCCCAAATGAGCTCTGGGTGCTGTCCCACCAAAGCAGGGAAGCTAATTCACAGCCCCACCTACTGCTGAGTAGAATACTCAGTCCTGACCATGCAGTAAGTCTGACCAGGCAACTGTGAAGTTCATTCTATAGACTCACTTGGGCAGGAAACCAAGCCAGCAATTGTATCTAGCTGTTCTCAGCCAATAGCACACCCCGCATCCCCTACCTCAGCGTTCAAACAGCTGCCTCACCCAAAGATATATCCTAACAGCAAAGGGTCTATCTTTGCTATTAGGACCCCATCTGTCCAAAGATATTACTAACAGACACGTCCAGAAAACCAAACTGAACCTGTAAAGCCTGGAAGAGGAGACCACACTCCAGTGTGCAGGTACCAAGGATCATGAAAAACCAGGTAAATATGACACCACCAAAGGAAACTAATCAAGTTCTAGTACCTGACACTAAAGAAATGGAGATCTATGAACTACCAGATAAAGAATTCAGAGTAATCCTTTTGAAGTTTAGTGAACTACAAGGATAAATGAGATTAGTTAAAACAATGCATGAATAACACGAACTTTGGCAAAGCAATAGAAACCATCAAAAAATAAAAACTCAAATCCTAGAACTTAAAAATTCAGAAACCAAACTTAAGAATTCAAAAGCAGCCTCAACAGTGTACAAGAACGAACTATGATCTGGAAGATAGGACATTTGAAAGTATCCAGTCATAAGAACAAGAAAAAAGAATGAAGAAGAGTATAGAAAACCTACAGGAATTATGGGACCTAATGAACCCCCGCCCCCCCAAAAAAACACACCACCAATATAGTAGCCCCCCATCCATAAGGGATATGTTCCATGACTCCCCTAGTAGATGCCTGAAACGTGGATAGTAGTACTGAACCCTATACATTATACCTACGACAAAGTTTAATTTATAAACAAGGCACAGTAAGAGAGAGTAACAATAATAAAATAGAACAATTGTAAACAATATACTATAATAAAAGTTATGTAATATGGTCTCTTTTTCAAAGTTATCTTACTGTACTACACTCTTCCTTTATTTAAAGGAAGCACGTTATGGCTTCTCTTTGGCATAACTGAATTGCCAGCATCACTACTCTTGTGCTTTGGGGCCATTAGGTACAAAAAGGGTTACCTGAACATAAGCACTGTGCTATCGCAATAGTCACTATGACAATGACATAGATACGCTGGACAAAGGGATAATTCATGATGAGATAGAATCATTGATTGGCTGCCTCCTGTACGTCCCACACTGGGGGATTGAGCCCACAAACTGGCATGTGCCCTGACTGGCAATCGAACAATGCTAAACCACTGAGCCACACCAGTGGGCTAGAAATATCTTTAAATTAAATTTCAAGAAAACTGGAATTAACTCAAACAGTAATAAAATATGCAGAAGTTAACATCCTTATATAAAAACTTAAAGGGCAGTAAGATTTAAGGATATAATTAGGACACATGCTCAAAATGCAGGCCTCATTAACTGCATTTTCCAGCGGGCAAAGACAAATGGGGCCCTGTCCCCCAGGTCATAGAAATGCTGTGTACCTTATTATCTCCACCCGAGACGGCCAGAATGTTGGCTGTGATGGACCAACTCACGTGCCACACAACATCATTGAACTTGTGCAGTAGTTTGGGAGACCACGTATTGCTTGAGGCATCGTCACAGGTCCAAATGAACACACGACCATCCTGGGAAGACAGGAGAGTCAGGAGATGGGGGCAGTTTTCATGTCTTCAAAGTCACTTTCTTGTTTCAGTTCCCTCTGCTCTGTCTATACTTTCTCAACTGAATGTGTCTGGCTGCCTAAAAACCAATTTCAGAGAATGAGAAGGGAGAAAAACAAAAAACCTCTCAAAAATAGGACCAAACAAAACAGGCACAAATGATATATATATAAAAGGGCTGGCTTAATTCTGGCCTGGGGTGTTGGGTAGCCTATAATTAAAGGCTTGTCCTTGGTCTTACTTTCGTGATCTGCCTGGGAAGAGTGGGTAGTAGATGAGCCCAGGTCTTAAGACTTTCCCATTGCCCTGGTCCTTGTTTGGGAACAATCTCTCAGAACTGTACCTGAGCACTTCCATTCTCTACTCACACAAGCTTCAGCAGGGGAAGCTGGTCCTGCTCTTGGCTCAGTGGAGGCAAGCCACTTGTGGCCTCATATCAAGAGTTCACTGCGTGATGACCTGCTCCACCACTCTGCTATCTGCATGGGCCCAAAGGTACTTGTTGCCCTACTCTTACCTTTCAAGGACTCTCCCCTAAGGGGACTGTAAGGGCTGATGGGACTCACTCAGAGATTAAATAACACAGGATGCCCTCAGGGGTCTGAGCTGACCTGGGAACAACTGGCGATGGTGCTGGTGGGTAGACCAATGGAAGGGGCCCAGGCCACGTCTCGAACCCAGTCACTGTGTGCTTCCAGCTTCTGTTCCTCCTTCCACTGGCCATCCTCTTCCTCCCTAAAGGGGAGATCAGAAGAGAATCGGGTAGCAGCCCAGGAGCCTTTCCCACACCTCTATTGTGCATGTGGATCACATTCCTTCTCCACATTGTAAGCTCCACAGGGGCTGAGAAACTATTCCATCTTTCTGATTTCGTTTGTTGAGTCTGCAGAGTTTTATCCAATTCACCAGCTATAATGCACTGCTTTTCCATAGCCAAGTCAGCTCTAGCAATTAGGAATTAGGGAAAGAGTGAATGAAACTGCTTTAGCTAACAGCAAGTTGTGTGTTTTTTAAAGGATGTCCTCTGACATTGAAAACAGTATTCTATGGGCAAGAGGAAAAAAGATGATCCTGTTTTTTTGTGAACTGTGGCTGTCATGGGAGGTAGAGTAGAAGGCTGTCCCCTTGAGAAGTCCACGAACCCCACTTACTTCCACAGCTTGATGAGGTTGTCACAGCCGCCTGAGGCAAATTTCTTGATGTAGTTGGGCTTCTGTCCTGATGGCTGGTCAATGAGGCTTCCAGGTACAACAGCAGGGGCCCAGCTGACGGCATTGCAGCCAATCTGTAAGGAGGGGGACTTGTGACTTGGCCCTTTTGCCTGGCAACAGAACACGCTCTGGCAGAGCCAAGGCTGTTGCTCATTCCCCTCTAGTCCTCAGGTCTGGCTTAGGTAGGACAGCTGTTTTGATGAACTAAGGATTAGCCACTCAATTCTCCTTTAAGGATTCCTACCAGGGTGTATATTTTTCAGCAGTATGCATTTAAAGTGAGAATTAGGGACTCTCAGGAATTTAAGAAACAGAACATTTTTCAAACATATGAAAGGAGGGCAGATTCAGAAAACCATACATAGTAAATATATAGCTTCGTGAATTACTCTGAAGCACTCTTGTAACCATCACCAAGTTAAGAAATAAGACTGCAATTTACCCCGGAAGCCCTGTCATTATGTCCTACTTGAATCACAGCCCCTCTCACCCCGTAAGTACCCATTATCCTGACTTATAATCTTTTTGTTTTAGTTTTGTTACCCAAATGTGCATCTTGACACTAAAGTTTAGTCTTGCTGTTTAATTTTTTTTGTTTTGTTACTGTTTTTCACATCTCCTAATTTATAGCTTCCTCCTCTGATCCTTTTATTCTTTGTAATTTTTCTGTTGAAGAATCAGTGTCATCTGATCTGTAGTTTCTCAGGCTGGGTTTTGCTGTTGCATACTCAGTTCAACAAGTTCCTCTGAATTCCTATATTGTGAGCTGGATCCAGTACGGGATCAGACTCAGGTTTGACCCCTTTGCCAAGACAACATGTGGTGGTGTATTCTTTCATCAGCAGGCACATTATGTGACATTGTCTCTCTCTATTTTGTTAGAACCTGTCAGTAATTTATGCCTCTCTTAATTCACCGAGAGTTACAAAATGGTGATACTGTAATTCATTTCTTTGTCATTTATTACATGGGATACCCTAAATAGGGACAATTCCCCTCTTAATATTTGGTTGCCCAGTGATACAGATCAGATAGGAAAGGCAGAATATGCTTGATTCTTTCACAACTGGTTCCCTAACTTTCTCCAAAGATGACTGATTCTCTCTTCAATGTATGAACTCATGGATTTAAGCATATGTGGTAGGTTCAGTTCATTGCAATTATTCTCATTTTTGACACTTGTATTGCCCATCTTTGGCACTGTGAACCTGTCCAAGTTGGCTCCTTTGACATAATCCTAGTATGTCAAAATACGACTTTATTTCTTTTCAATCTGGTATGACAAGACATACAAGCTCATCTTGTACATTTCCTACTTCAGACCTGGAATTGCCATTTCCTCAAGAGCTCTGGTTTCCTTTAGTGAGAAGCTGTATTCAAGACCATAATCTGGTGCTAGGGATGCTCTCTGCCACATAATTATTTATCTTATAATAATATTGCCAATATGATTACTAAAATCTTTAATAAAGTGTATGCAATGTTCTCCCTATTCTCTAGTTCTTTTTTTAAAAAAAATATGTCCTTATTGATTTCAGAGAAGAAGGGAGGGAGAGAGAAACATCAATGATGAGAGAAAATCATTGATCAGCTTCCTCCTGCACGCCCCACACCGGGGATCAAGCCTGCAACCCGGGCATGTGCCCTGACTGGGGATTGAACAGTGACTTCCTGATTCATAGGCTGATGCTCAACCACTGAGCCACGCTGACCGGGCTCTCCCTGTTTTTATTTTATTTTTTGTGGGGGTCGGGAGGAGGTGTTTGTGTGTGAATGGTACCAACATGAAAATATGTGGATCTTTAGCTGCTCATGTGCCACACTGTTGTTTTTGTTAAATCTAACCAGAGGATATTTTCTCCATTTGAGAGATTAAAAGGGAGGGAAGATTGTAAGGAAGGGAGGGGGGTAGAATGAGAAAGAGAGAGACAGAGAGAAACATCGATGTGAGAGAGAAACACTGATTGGTTGCCTCCTGCATGCGCCCCAACCGAGGCCGGGAATCAAACCTGCAACCCTTCAGTGTGTGGACCCACACTCTAACCACTGATATAGCACTTTAACAGTTGTACTCTAACTGCCTTAGCAGAGCACGTGGCCAATACATCCTGTACTTTGCCTTCTAACCCTCATTTAGTCCTAGTTCTCTACCATAAACTGTGTATTTATACATGCATACCTTGGAGATACTGCAGATGTGGTTCAGACCACTGCTATAAAGTATCAAAATAAAGTGAGTTGTAATCTTTTTGCTGGTGGAGTCTTGCCTTTAATTTGTAAAAAGCACAGCATCAGTGAAGTGCAATAAAACGAGGTATGCATGTATAAATGTCTTTCTAGTCATTTTTGTTGTCTGAAGCTTATTTTCTAGTAGACACATCGATTGGTTGCCTCAAGAAGGGCTCATGAAAACAATAATTCTTGAGTTCTTGCATACTAACAACTTTTTATTCTCCAAAATAAAAATTTAAAAACAGCTTTGAGGGATACCTGACATTAACTGCACATAAAGTACACAATTTGATGAACTTTGACATAGATATACTCTGAAAAACTAACACGACAATCAAGATAACAAACATATCTCCCTTTCCCCAGCTGCTGGTAAGGTGCTCCGTCCTTCCAAGGAAGCTGAGGAGGCCCTCACTTCACCTGGCAACTAGCACCACTCCCGGCAGCGCTCACCCACCCAGCACCCGCCCACACCAAGGCCTCCATCTCGGAGCTGCATCTACCCGGCTACTATCCTGCACGATGGCCCTTCTCCCGCACGACGACGCGGAGCCAGTGATGGAGGATAAGATCAATGCCCTCATCAAAGCAGCTGGAGTAAACGTTGAACCTTTCTGGCCAGGCTTGTTTGCAAAGGCTCTGGCCAATGTCAACACTGGGAGTCTCATCTGCAATGTAGGGGCAGATGGACCTGCCCCAGCAGAAGATCCTGCCCCCTCCACCACTGCTGCCCCAGCTGAGGAGGAGAAAGTGGAAGCAAAGAAAGAAGAATCTAGAGTCTGATGATGTCACGGGCTCTGGTCTTTTGACTAAATTTCTTTTGTAACACATTCAATAAAAAACTAAACTTTGAGAGACGTGTTTGCTTATTTTTAACAAAGTGCTGAAAGAAAAAAACTTAGCACTAAGAATATTACACCTGGTAAAGTTATTATCCAGACTCGAAGGAGAGAGTTTTTTCTAGACAAGCAAAAGCTTGAGATGAAGTGAGCTGGGAGATGAGTTAGAACTCCTTTTCACAGAGGGCAGCTTATTTAAAAAAAAAAAAAAAAAAGCTAAAGGTCTTCATCATGATTAAATCAGCCTTATAAAAAGTTAAAGGGACTTCTTTAAACTGAAATAAAGGGTGCCAATTAGTAACAAGAAAACATGAAAGTATAATCGTAAAGGTAAGTAAATATATAGTAACGTTAGTGGACTAATCACTTACAGAGCTACTATGAAGGTTAAAAGACAAAAATAGTAAAAATGACTACCACTACAATAATTAAGGGATACAAAAGATAAAAAGATGTGAAATGTTACATTGAAAACATAAAGCACGAGTGGGGAGAGAGTAAAAATGTAGAGCTTTAGAATGTATTTAAACTTAAGCTATCAACTTAAAACAAACATAAATATAGGTTGTTATATGTAAGCCTCATGTAAACCACAAAGCAAACACCTATAGTAGATGCACAAATGGTAATGAGAAAGGGATCCAAGCATGCCACCAAAGAAAGTCATCAAACCACAACTACTAGTAAGAGGAGAGCAAGAGAAGAAGAAAGGAACATAGGAAGTAACAAGAGCCACAAAACAATTAAATGGCAATAAGCACATACCTATCAATAATTACTTAAAAAAAAATATACTTTATTGATCTTTTACAGAGAGGAAGGGAGAGGGATAGAGAGTTAGAAACATCGATGAGAGAGAAACATCGATCAGCTGCCTCCTACACACCCCCCACTGGGGATGTGCCTGCAACCAAGGTACATGCTCTTGACCGGAATCGAACCTGGGACCTTTCAGTCCACAGGCCGATGCTCTATCCACTGAGCCAAACCGGTCAGGGCTATCAATAATTACTTTAACTGTAAAACAGACTAAATTCAACAAAAGAATAGCTGAATAGATAAAAAACCAAAAGCCATGAATATGCTGCTGGCAAGAGGCTAATTTCGGATATAAGAATACAGACTGAAAGTGAAGGGATGGAAAAATGGAAAACAAAAAAGCTGGGGGTCAAACCTGCAACCCAGGTGTGCGCCCTTGGCCAGGAAGTGAGCGCGTGACCTTTTGGTATAACACACCTATACTTATGTTAGACAAAATAGACTTTAAAATGAAGACTGTAATAAGAGACAAAGGGCATTACATAATTATAAAGGTGTCAACCCAACAAATATCCTATCTAATAACAGCCAAACATGGTAATTGACCATACCTTCGCTACACCTCCCACTGGCTAATCAGCGAGATATGCAATTAACTGCCAACAAAGATGGCGGCTAATTTGCATACTGCAGGCAGGGTGGGACAGCGCGAGCCGCCAGCGTGAGCTGCCATCCAGGCCCCCGTGGACGACCCCAGGAGCCGCCTGCCTGCTGCCCGGGACCCGATGATCTGGTCCCGGGGCCGCAGGCAGGCCCGACCCGCAAGCCCCAGAAGTCGCCAGATATGGCAGTAACTCTATCAGTAAGCACTCTGAAAGTCAGTGGCATAAATGCACCAATTAAAAGACAGATTATGAGGGTGAATCAAAAACAAAACCCACTTTAAATATAAAGACACATATAGATTAAAAGTAAATGAATTAAGCTGCAGCCTGTTTTGCTCAGTGGATAGAGCATTAGCCCGTGGACTGAAGGGTCCCAGGTTCGATTCCAGTCAAGGGCATGTACCTCAGTTGCTGGCTTGATCCCCAGTCCCTATCAAAGCATGTGCAGGAGGCAACCAATCAATGTGTCTCTCCCTTTCCCTTCACTCTCTCTAAAATTCAATGGAAAAATATCCTTGGGTGAAGATTAACAAAAACAAAGTAAATGGATTAAGTAACATTAAAGAGATTATAAGAAAAATATATTCCAAATTTTGTTAGTTGTATAATGGTTATGTTTAAATTATTAACACCTAAGAAATTGGGTGAAGGGTACATATAATATGCTGAAGTATTTTATAGTTTTTTTACATGTATGAGATTATTTCAAATTAAAATATTAAAAAATTAA